CTATCCCAGGCTGCTTAAGCTCGTCTTCCCCTCGCCACCTGTCCTTGCTCCCTGCCCATCTCATGTCACATCAACTCCTGGTGTGACGCAGCCTGCCATTTCTCCCCTGCACATGATGGCATCGTGTTGGCATGAGCTTAAAAAATAAAGCCAGGGTTAATCATAGCGAGCGTCTCCTTGGGTGTGTGCATGGCATGTGTGCAGGCAGTGGGGGACCTCTAAGGGCTTTTCTGCCCAGTGGCCCCTAAGATTGTGTCAGCGGAGCTCATGAGCAGTTCAGAACCTTAGCATCCACCCCAGATCTCCTGTACCAGCATCTGCATTTTTTTTATTTCTTTTTTTTTCATTTTTTAAAATTTTTTTTAAAGATTTATTTATTTATACAAGCACTGGGGTACAGGCCAGAGGCACGGGAGGATGAGAGAATCCACCAGAGACAGAGCAGAGAGCAGAACAGGCAGAAGGACCAAAATACACTGCTGAGGGGAGCAGCAGGGGAGACTGGAGAGGTCTGCCACGTCATATGGGTATCTCCCTGGCCGGTGGGAATCAAACCAGCACCGTGGAGGGTGCAGACAGCTTAAAAGCACCGCACTCAACCTGCTGTGCCACTGGGGAGGCCCTACCAGCGTCTGCATTTTAACAGGCTCACAGCACACTGAAATTCAAGAGGCGCTGGAGTAGGGCAGACCTCACGCTAACTCTGGAGGTGGGAACCAACCCTGGGAGCTTGGGCCACCATCTTCACCTTGAAAGTTATGATTTGTTCACACCTCTGCAGATGGGCGGTTCTGCTCCCCCGGTGTTACCTGAGAAACTAAAATCCATGTGCCCTAACACAAACTAATCAGCAGAGAGCCTTGGCTGAGGGTTTGAGACCTAGAAGGGAGGCCACACCTGCCCACCCATGCCAGCACTGCACCACAGGAAGCCCTGGATGATTTCAAAGGGGTGCAGCCTGCAACACAGCCCTTCGAGGATCTGAGAGGGGTCTGTGCACCCTTGCTGAACCCCTGACCAGAGTCTCCCATGGCAAAGCAAGTCAAGGCTGGAGTGGCAGCAGGGCGCGTCTAGGAAAGGTGGCACTGCAGAAGGCACAGGAGAAAGGTGTGCATGTCTGCACTGCAGAAGAGGCCCAAGAAAGGCCCAGTATGCAGCCTCCCTGTGCAGGGGTTGGGGGCTGCTGCTTTCCCATGCCTACCAAGGGAGCAAAGGGCAACAGTGAGAAGACCCTGAGCCCCACAGAAGATCAACTCTTCTTCCCTGGTCATCCACCAGAAAGAAGTCAGGACATGAGGGGGGGACATCATGGGAGAATGTTGCTAGAAAACGAAGAGGAAGACTGCCTTAAATTTAATAAAATACACAAGAATAGTTACACTTATTACAGAAGAGAAACACTTTTTTTAAATGAATGCTGTCTTAGCAGCCCAAGTCCTCCTGCATACCCAGCCAATGTGGACTGAGTCAGAGCATTCAAGGTCTCTGCACCCAGAAGCCACCCTCTCAGCGACAAGGGTGCCTGAGAGCAATCATCAAACACCTGCAACAAGGGGAGATGGCCAGTGTGCCAGAGCAGGATCCCCTATTTCTTAGACTGACCCTTGGGTTTATGGACGGGGTTTATGTTTATTAACTGAAATCACCTTACATATTGTTTCCTGAATATGTACATGAGACTTTGCAAATATTGAAAACACATGGTGTCTGATCTCAAAGCCTAGCACTAATCCAAAAACACGAGGCACAGGGAAATAATGATGTTAAAAGGAACCAACATTAATATTTATGGTTATTTAGTAGATAAGCAGAAACTATAGGTAAGAACTGTTTAGAAAAAAATTCAGTAAAACGCACCAAGAATGCATAAGGTGGTGGACCAGCTGCATCCAGTCCCAGGGCACGGTGAGTGGTGGGAAGAAGGCACCCAGGCCCCAAAGAGGGGGAACCCTCCCACAAATGCCTGCCTCTCAGGACAGGGGCTGCCACCACATCACTTCTCACTCTTTCTTGGTGCCCCTCCAAATAGAACATTCTACCACTATTGATTTTATACCGTATCTGTTGAACAGAGTGTAGGGGGAAAGGGAAAACATAATGATTTCAGAGATTCAGTAAGCATCCCATAATTGTTTCCTCTGAATTCAGAATCACATTAGTATTCTAGGTGAGGTTCTGCCACTGTGCTCTTATTAAAGAGGCACTCCACCCAGCTACATTTCCTTTTATCTACATTTGTAAAATGGTAAACTCCTTGAAGCTACTTCAACTGCAGTCTTTGTACATAAAACAATAATTCAACATTTGCTATAATTGTCTTTAAAATGTAGGAACACACACACTTTGGTTATTTAATCCTTATTTATCCTTAGGACACTCGAGTAATTGATATGTTAACTTTAAAGGCAACTCAAATCTTATTAATGGTTTCCAAGGACAGAGAAGATCTAAGTCCATGAGTACTATGGAAAGCACCACCATCAGAGAGAAAACATCGAGAAACAACTGAACACTCAGTTTCTGAAAGGTTTTTTGAAAAGGTTTTTTGACTGACTTACTGGGTCTCGGAAAACTCCATTGGTTTGATTCTTTTAGAAAATAAGACAATCATAAGAAATTGGCAGAAGAGTTTAATATGATTTGGGTAGCGAATTATGGGTTTATTAATAGCCACAAATCTAAGGAGAAACTACCAAGAACCTATTACACAGTATCTTGAATATTGATAAGAATTAAGCCTGGCCTGACACGAAAGCTGCCACAGGTTTGCTGGGATTACAGGTTACTGGAAACTAATCCGTCATGCAGGGAGCTGGTCACACACTGAAATCCATGGACTAGCATAACAACTGAGAGCACCGGGGTGACTTCACGACTAGTACCAGATATTAAATAGCAGTTAGTTTGAAAACACGCTGAACCTCGATTTTGTTCTTAAAAATTTTAACTATTGTGATGAGAGTAAAATAAGATCAGTTTCATTCATATGCTAAAATAAATATGTAAGAGTAAGAAAAATAAAGGAGGTAGACAAGACACCGAGTTCAGAGAAAGAGATCAAAATAACCGAGAATGATCAAAGAAGTTGCTAGAGAAAAGTTAAGAACAAGAGCTGAATCTTGGAGCAGGAAATAATTCAGACATGTGTAACAAAGGGACAGCACTCCAGGCAGAAGACCCTCGTGAGTGAAGGTATCAGGGCAAGAGGGGCATGCACAAAGCTCACTGTCGCACCTCTACACACTGGCAGGCCTCTGCACAAAGCCATTCACATTGTGGGCACTGATGCCATCACTGACAAGAGCAGCCTGGACCAGCAGTGGTCATGACGCTGCAATACTCAATCCACTGCAATGACACATGGATGGAGAGGGCCATCGTTCCTACATTCCAGAGTTCCCTGAGACAGGGAAATTCCTGGACATGGGACACATGGCATCTCCTTGGTTCTCTCCTGAGGAGGGATGCGGGGAAGCAAAATGACACTTCCGAACAACTAAAAAGCTTCACTTCCTCAGATGAACAGAACCGCTCCTACTTGTTGGTACACAAAGTATTAGGGTATTAACAGCTAAGATAAAGAGGCTCCAGATCGACATTAACTTACCTTCAATTTACCTCCAGCTAAATCCCATCTTAATTGGCTTGACTCTTTTTAATTGAAATAAGTGGTTTTGGACAGTGGGCCAAGGAGCCCCAACAGTAAAAAGGTTAAATAAGCAACCTGTGAGCTTGCCTCTTTGCTATGAAATATTCAACAATAGATTTGCAGGATTTAAGTGATCATTTTCCCTCTGCATGAGTGTAATGATTAAGCTGTTCCCATATGGGAAATGCTGTGTGCTCGCTAGCAAGTCAGCCTCCAGACTCTTTCAAAAGAGCATTAAGTTGCGTCCTTCATGGATTTAGATGGGAGAGATAGTGTTTCTATTTAATCATCTGCTCACCACAAAATGAAGCCACACTAACTTCAGCAGGAAAAGTGTGCATTAAATTACTTTTGAAGCTCCCCGAAGATTAAGGCTTGTAGGTTTGGGATTGCATTACAATTAAGTAATAATGAAAGAGAAATCGTGTCTTTTGATCAAATAATGCATTAATCCTACCATACACTGTGTGCTGTTATTCACTCTCTGGTATTCCACAGGACCCCCATGGGGAGAAGGACCCACATCTACAAGGAGGACAATGGAAGTGAGATGTCCCCGAGCGCTGTCCAGAAGAGAGCGTTGACCACGCTGTGAAGGAATCCCAGGTAGTTTGAACAAAAGGGTCAGGTCATTTCTTAAGTTTCAGCATCCACACAAAATTTTTCTACAGAAAAAAAGGCATCCCTCGTGGACCCCAAATGCCTGAGGCTGACTGCCGGAGTGGGCAAGACTGCAGCTTACGATCCACCTTCAGTACTTCAGACCAGAGTTCACTGAGCAATTAGCAGGATATCGGGAGTCTCCAGGGAGATATTTGAGAACAAGTTTTTCAAGCACTTTAGGAGCATTTATATATACCTAACACGCCATTAATCACTCTTATCTGTTCATTAAGGCAGTCTCCCTCAGGGCTTCTATTTGCCCGTTCTTTCCCAGCCTGCTTCTTTTTATCTATATACCTGAAAGGGGTCCATTTCTTTTTAAACATATTTTATAATTAAAAGACTTCATTAATTCACTTGGGTGTGCTCCACCAGCGAGTCTGAGTTTTCAGAGTTTTATTAAATATACAGAGAGGCCATTCTCTTGGCGGTCTTTGTGGACAACGAACCATCAATGCAAGCTTGGTGCTGGAATACATGTCAGCATTAGAGAGGTTTAGGACTTATTTCCAGTGCACTATAAACCTCCTGTCCATATCAACGCATGTCGGTGGCTCCCATCTGTCCCCAGGGAGGGTACAGTTTCAACTTACACTGTGGTCTAATTGATGGAAAGATGGAGAAGAAATCAGATAACATTGAAAAGCCATCAGTGTTAAATGTCGTCAGCTGTTATATTTGACCATACCTCTGCCTGCGACTCCCTCATGCCCTCGTTCAGGCCTCTGCTGGTTCCGGGGTCCATCCATCCCAGTGCAGCCAGCAGGGACGCCCCAAGCAGTGCCAGATGCAACCAAAAGCCTTCCAGTTTCATTTTGTTGAGTCTGTTTAGACACAAACAACAAAACATTGCAAAATGTAAGCAAGGTAGTTGGTACTTGTGCTCAGAAGAGAGATGCCCAAATTTAAATCCTGGAACCAACCCTTCTGTTCTACATTAGAGGAGTAATATTACTTCGGATCCTTAGCTTTTTCTCCTCTAAATTAGGATCAATTATCATAGGATTGTGGGGATCAAAGGAGACGGTGTTAGGCGTATGGTAAGAGTCCTGGAAATGCTCCGAAACCCACCTGCTCTGCCACCTACCACGGCAAGTACAGGAACAACGGGAGGGAGCGAGCCGGGCACCCTCTGACAGCTCACCATGTACCTCTGCTTTAGCCTCCTCACAAAGCCATCGGGGATGGGCACATGACCAGCACTCTATTCTATAAATGATGGTGACAAACTGTGTTAACTATTTGGCATCCCATTTGTTGCTTATGCCTCAGTTTATAGTAAGCTTCAAAGAGGCATCATTAGGTCCAATATTTTCATTTCAAGACTACTCATGCTTATAGCAGAATCCAAGCTTCCATGGATAATGGAATTTCAATAACCTTTAACTGTTTCCTGAGTTTCACTTGATAAATTATCTAAAGTCCTAGAAGACAAGAAATGAGCAGTTCGATGAGTTACATGGATAAAAAACTAAGGCTCACTTACTGGGCATTGTGTTAAGGGGACAAAGACACAGATTATCCCACTTGTCCAATTAACTGCGAACAATTTCCAGCCTTAATTTCGTGATCTTTGTCTAGGAAACATAGCCAGAGAGAATTCATCATACAGTATTTATAACTCTCACTCAAGGAAAGTTTTAAGGTTATTGATTCTGTGAACACCACACCATTCAGTGCTTCATTCCATGTGGTCCACACTGCATCCCAGTCATGGCTGGGGTGAGGAGCTCACACAGAGCCCCGGGAGGCCAGCACTCATGAGATCTGGCCTAGTGCTGGCCCACAGCGGGGGTCGGAATAAAAACTGATTAGCTTGACGGGCACTGTCGTCTATTTGAAGAGTGGAAGAGTCTACCCCGCCCAAGCCCAGCAGCTTTGGAGGATCCCTGCTACAAACAAGAGGAGCTGGAGGTGTACCTGATCACGACTGCTCATGCCAGGGCCACCAAACAGAAACACTCCTGCCACATCCCAGGTTTCCCCTTGGCTGCGTGCCATATCCACATAGAGCCACCTCTCCAGATTTGCTTTATGGCTCCTGCTTGATACAGAAATGCCCATAAGAAGAACTCAGACCAAAAACTGTGGGCATTTAGCCCTGCCCTATCCAATGCAAAGCAGTGAGTAATGACTAGCTTATAAAAGAAGGTGCTTCTTGTTTTAAAAAGTCCATAGGCTACCATCCCCACATCTGTTTCTCTAGCCATTCATCTTTGAGATCTGTTGGCAAAGCTGGCACTCCTGGGAAAAAAGTCCGAGTGGCCAGTAAATATAATCTGAAGGTCACACAGCCCTGCCACTACCAGCCCCGGCTCCCACTCTCGGGATTGCAGCAGGGGGAGGAGAGGTTCCGCCTCCATCGCTACCTTGGCGAGGGAGGCAGCGTCTCCTTCAGCCACCGAATTTACACTCCTGAGTTGGTGCTTCAGCTCGGGTATGGAAGTTCTTGCAGGGGTGGGAAGGAGTGAAATATCATATTCACGACTAAAAAAGAATTAAAATGTCTTTCCCTAACAGCAACCAGTTTTTCTAAAAATAAATAGGGCAACTCCCTACTTTCCATAAATTATTCTCTTCTGAACATCAAACCATATTCCAGAAACTGCAGAAAGCAGTTATTGGCTTTAGAAAAAAAATTTTAAGACAATCTAGAACTAGAGTCACTGTTTCCTACTCTAATTTTGTTAATTATTCCCTACTTATCCACAATCAAACGCCGATCATAGGGTAAGCACACATGTAAAAGGTCTTCTACTTTTCTTTTTCAGGCCTTCAAGTCCAAGTAAGCTAAAGACAGATGATTAGGAGTAATGTACAGATGTTTGAGTAATGTACAGATGTCAATTCTTGCAGTTAAGAGCTATTTAAACCACAGAATGTAGTATTTAGTTCCCAATTTGCCTAGGAGTTCAAGAGCAATCAGGTTTGATATTTTATTTCTAGTGGAGAACATCAAAACCAAATCCATTTATTGCAATTTTTATTAGCACAGCAAACCACTTCATTTAAAAGAACGTCCCAGACCTCTGGTGTGAAACCCGCTGTTTCGAACTGTTTCAGAAGCCAAAGCTCCAGTCCAGCTGCATCAAATGCTGGTTTTACCTGGTTAGTGTGGAGGTTCCCTGAAAGATTTTATTTGAAGACATGAGCCAGACCAACTACTGAGATCCTCGTAGGCAGCTGCTTTGTTAAGTCTAGCTCAGCTCGGCCACACTGGATCAGACTTCATTTGCACAGTGGATGCATCTTAGATGCCATTTTATTCTCACGGTGATTGACAATTCATTACAGCTACAGCAGCAACAGCCTAAGAATTTACAACTCAAGTTTTATGACAGTTGAGTTCATAAAAAAGAATCAATTTGGTCTAAATCAATTGTGATGATCTATCTAATAACCAAATAGAAACTATCTATTTGGTTAACACTTATATAGCAATTACTACATGTCAGGAGCGATTCTAAATGTTTTACAGGTATTAACTCACAATCCTCATTTCTACTCCATGAGAGGACAATGATCACCCCAGATAGATGACACAGGAGACAGGTTTCAGGGAGGTTAAGTACCCTGCCAAGGCCACAGGGCAGAAGAAGTGGCAGAGCTGGGACTCCAAGCTGGGAAGGTTGAGTCAGCACCTGTGTTCCTAACCCCTGTCCTCTGCTGCTTTTCAGTACTCAGCAATGTCTTATTTTGAGAGACAGTGCTTTTTTAGAATGATGGGGGGGACCTATGCAGACCTAGGTAGGACGCCATAGCCCTGAGCCTCTCCTTTCCTCTGAAAGCTGCCACGAGCTGTGTTGCTGCAGCTTTTATGGCTCCAACAAGGCAAAAGCAAGAGGTGATGACAAGTTGCTGCCCTTCCTGTAGCCACCCATGATGGGGCCACTCAGTATGCTCCCCTCAGCCCTCCCTGATGCTGTCTTTATTTGCCAAGAAAGAGTGAGTTTGGGGGTGGGGGTGGGGCAGGAAAATATGAGGAGGGACATTGACTATGAAGCAGCAAGGATGCCCTTCAAGTCCGTAGGGAGCACGAGCATGGTAAAACCACTGACTCTGGGGGAAGCAGATCTGTTGATAAAGTAAATACTCCTCAAATTCAAATAGACACACAGCCATTCAAACAGAAGAAAATACAAGAATCTCTCATTATAGGAATGAGAAGGTACCATCAATAAGGTCACAAACCCTCTTTTTCAATCCAGAGCTGTTCTGAGATCAATTTAGGTTCATAAACACTCAATTCATGCTAGAGTTCTAAGATTGGTTATAAATCTACCTGAGATTGTGCTCATAAAATGGGCTAGGACTAGGTTTTCTTTCTAACAATTTGTAAAGCATACCACTTGATAGTCAACGACATCTTGTTTCCAAGAGAACTTCACTCCTTCCTGGGTGGGTCCCCACACGCAGCCCCCTCAGTGTCCAGACCTAGATTAAAACCCAGGCATTCTGACTGGGCAACTGTTTTGTTTCTTACATGATCACAAACTTTCATATGGACTGTTTGCATCCCCTATTTAGAATGAGTGATTTTGCTTTTTACGGTGATTGATGGGCCCACCCTAGATGTTCTGCCCTCTCTTTGTGGAAACCACAGGATCTTCTGATGCTATAAGCTGAAAACTGATGTTATTTATTTGTATCTAAGATTATAAAGGTACTACAAATCTGTATGACGTAACATTCCAATCACGACATGCATTTTGGAAAAAGGGACACAAGAATGCAAATGGTTAGAGAAAAATGGGCTGAACATGTAAATTCCAGAATCTGCCCCAGCAGAGAACACACACCAGCTGGAAGCTCTCTGGTTTAGACAGGGTCAGAAGCCAGGCAGATGCACTGACGTTAAATTGGCAGGACACTCAAAACAAACTTCTCTTTTCTCCTCCAGGAAGCAGTCTTGTTCTGCAAGAGTGGGAATTCTGACTCTCAGAGCTTCAGGGGAGACTGTTCTCTTTCTCAGTCTTTCCCCCCAAATATGATAATATTACCGGACCAGATAATACAGATTAGCCACATGGGAATAGATTTTGTTCTGTAGCCAAAGAACCAGAAATTAAGAAGATAATCAAACTGAGCGACATCACCCCCTTCACAAGAAGCCAGAGGTACCCACACTTCCAAGCTTTCTTACTGAAAAGGGCATGCTAGCCTGTTACCTTAGGCGTTTGCATTTTGTACTCGGCATGTGGCCAATCAACAAATAGAAACCAGCTGAGCACTAATAAAATCCTGTGGTCCTCTTCTGCCTGTCTGCCCAGCGTTAAAGAAAAAAATGTCTTACCCACCCAAACTTAAAAGCAGGCGCCTCTATAGTAATTTCTTCTGAAAGATTCAGGGTACTAGTTTTGATTTGAGTGTTATGGGGAGGAAAGAGGTTCACACTTCCCAAGACAGTCTTAAAAATACCAACCCAGGGAAATTAGGCAGAGAAATATGTCAGGCGAACTATACAGCAAGCCACAATGAGGTTACATTACATTTCCTATTCGTGAACTATTCTACACAGTTGGTTAATTGTTTCAACATTTGATAAATGAGATGCCTAAATTAGCCTATGTGAATATAGAAATCTACTACACTCCTATTTACCACAAAGTCTAACACAGACTGATACCGTCAGGAGTCCTTACTCTTCCAACACTGGATTATACCTCGTAAGTTCCCCCCCTCTCTGCAGTGTAGTTCTAGTTCACTTGATGTGCAGCTCTTGGGCTATGCGTTAAGAAAGAAGATCTAAGAAAAAGACATACTCTTGACATAATGACCTAATTTATTAAGTAAGCACACAATTGATCACACACAAGCAATGAAA